GTCCTGTCCTGTCTCACTTCTCCACTGTCCTCCCGTGTCCGGCTGCCCCTTCGGGCACCCTGTCTGGTCTGTACCTTCCCTCGTTCTCTACGAACTTGGTGAGTGGTGCGGACCTACAGGATGCGGGGGTTCACCAGTTCACTCCTGCGAGGCGGCGGGTGACCCACTGCACGGACGCAGACACAGGCCGACACCTGGCCACCTTTTCGCGTCGGCCGGGGTCGAGTCTCTACACCCTGACCACTTCGTCTCCTCCTGTCCCTGTGTCTGGTCAGGTAGCTGCGTCAGGTCAGGTGTTTGCTGCTGCGTCCCGGTCAGGTCCTGAGTCTGCCCCCTGTTCCTGTCGCCTCCTGTCTCACGAGACTCTCCTGTGGCACCACCGTCTAGGCCACCCCTCCTTGGCTCGTCTTCGGAGCATGGCTTCCCGTGTCCTTGTCTCTGGTCTTCCCCGGTCTCTCCCTCCTCCCCCCCCCGGGCCAGGGCCTTCCTGTGTCCCCTGTGTCGAGGGTCGCCTCCGGGCTACTCCTCACTCTTCCCACTTCCCCCCGACAGAGGCTCCGCTGCAGACGCTTCACATGGATGTGTGGGGCCCGGCCCCCGTCCGTGGGCAGGGTTACGAGCGCTACTTCCTGTTGGTGGTTGACGACTACTCGCGTTACACCACAGTCCTCCCCTTGCGCAGCAAGGGTGCTGTCACTGAGGTGCTGATCGACTGGATCCGCGAGGCTCGTCTCCAGCTCAGGAAGAGCTTCGGCTCTGACTTTCCTGTTCTGCGTCTGCACTCGAACAGAGGCGGAGAGTTCTCCTCTCGCCTTCTGCGAGACTACTGTCGTGCACGGGGGATCCGCCAGACCTTCACGCTTCCGGACTCACCACAGCAAAATGGGATTGCTGAGCGCCGCATTGGCATGGTCATGGATGTCGCTCGTACGTCCATGATGCATGCGGCTGCCCCCCATTTTCTGTGGCCGTTTGCGGTGAGGTACGCGGCGCATCAGCTCAACCTTCACCCGCGGGTCTCTAGGCCTGCGATGTCCCCAGCCTTGCTGTGGACGGGGAAGGTTGGCGATGCGTCTGTGTTTCGTGTCTGGGGATCTCGGGCGTTTGTCCGCGACTTGTCTGCGGACAAGCTGTCCCCTCGTGCTGCTCCCTGTGTCTTCCTTGGCTTCCCCACTGACGCCCCAGGGTGGCAGTTCTACCACCCCTCCTCTCGTCGTGTTCTGTCCTCCCAGGACGTCACGTTCGACGAGTCGGTCCCCTTCTACCGTCTCTTCCCCTACCGCACCCCTTCCCTCCCCCCTCCCCCGGACTTCCTTGTGCCGGTTCCCCCCCCGGTAGACCCCCTTCCCCCTCAGGTTCCTGCTCCCTCAGGTGTGTCCCAGGTAGACGCCGTTGACCCGGTCGAGGTTACTGGTGACTCTGGTGCTGCTGCGGGTGCTGAGCCTGGGGGTGCTGACTCTGGGGGTGCTGTGCGCGGGGGTGCTGAGCCTGGAGGAGCTGCTGCTGGGGGTCCTGAGCCTGGGGGTGCTAGTGCGGAGGGTGCGGAGCCTAGGAGTGCTGCGCCGGGGGGTGCTGTCACTGGAGGTGCTGGGTCTGGGGGTGCTGAGTCGGGAGCTGCTGAGCCTGGGGGTGCTGAGTTGGGAGCTGCTGCGCCGGGGGGTGCTGTGTCTGGAGCTGCTGAGCCTGGGGGTGCTGCGTCTGGAGCTACTGCGCCTGGGGTTTCTCCTGCTTCTCAGCCTCCCCGGGAGCCTCTCTCTCCACAGGAGCTGCGCGAGTGGTTCGCTCGTCGTTGGAGGCGTGCTGCTGAGTCTGGGGGTGCTGCTGGAGCTGGAGCTGGACCTTCTTCGACTGACGAGGGTGCTGGTGCTGCCGGTCCCGGAGCTGCTGGGCCTGCGGGTCCTCTTGGAGCTGGCGCTGCTGAGGGTGTTGGTGCTGAGACTGCTGCTGTTGGTCCTGCTGCTGGAGGAGTTGGTGGCCCTGGTGCTGTCGCTGAGGGTGCTGGAGCTGTCCCTGCTGCGCCTGGAGCTGCTGAGCGGCCTCGACCGTACTTCGTTCCGCTACTGCAGCAGGTTCTTGGTCTTTCTCCTCCGGTAGAGAGTCCACCGCCTGTCCAGTCGCAGTCCCTGCTGGAGCCTTCCTCTCCGCTTCCTGCTCCCTCTCCTTACACTGGTCCTACTGGAGGTCTTGCTGAGCGTCGTGAGCCTGCGTCTCGTCCTGCGTCGCCTGTTCGTCCTGCTCGCGCTACTGGTCGCGGTTCGCGTCAGCGTCCTCCTCCTGTCCCTGGCACGCACCAGATGTCTTTGCGTCCGTCCACTGCTCCTCTGCGTGCCCCTTTGCCTTCTCCTCCTGCGTCCTCTCTTCCTGCGCTTGCCGACCCTGCGTCGGACTCTCTGCGTGCTGCCAGTCCTACTGTCACGCGTTTCCTTGCTACTGTGGTCACTGACCCTTCTTTCGAGTCTTCTGCTGCGTCTGCCCTACTCACTGAGCTTGTCGACTTTGCTGCTCGCTGTCGCTTAGACTACGCTGCTAGTCTTGTTGCTAAGTCTGCGTCTGTCTGTCCTCCGTCCGTCGGGGGTGAGTGTGCTCTTGGCACGGACGTCCTAGAGGACAGGCAGGAGGAGTTACAGTGTCTAGCGGCTGCTTCACCTCATCTCGCGTCTGTACTGCTTGCCCCTGAGGGAGACCCGGATGCACTAGACATCCCGACTCCGCGTTCTTACGCGGAGGCTGTAGAGGGTCCCTACTCCTCTCAGTGGCAGGCAGCTATGGATGCAGAGATGGCTTCCTGGAAGTCCACAGGCACCTACGTTGACGCAGTTCCCCCTCCTGGGGCGAACATCGTCAGTGGCATGTGGATCTTCAGGGTGAAGCGGCCGCCGGGCTCTCCGCCTGTCTTCAAGGCGCGTTACGTCGCTCGTGGCTTCAGTCAGCGGCAGGGAGTTGACTACTTTCAGACCTTCTCTCCCACCCCGAAGATGACTACTCTTCGGGTGCTGCTGCACGTTGCCGCTCAGCGCGACTATGAGCTTCACTCTCTCGACTTCAGCACTGCGTTCCTGCAGGGTAGCCTGCACGAGGAGATCTGGCTGCGCCGTCCGCCTGGCTTCACTGGGACTTTCCCTCCTGGCACCCAGTGGAGCCTCCGACGGCCAGTCTACGGTCTCCGCCAGGCACCGCGTGAGTGGCACGACACACTGAGGACTACGCTTGCGGCTCTTGGGTTTGCTCCTTCCACTGCTCACCCGTCGCTGTTTCTTCGCACCGACACTTCCTTGCCGCCGTTCTACATCCTCGTGTACGTCGACGACTTGGTCTTTGCCACAGCGGACACTACTGGACTCGCCTACGTGAAGTCCGAGCTGCTGAAGAGACACACGTGCACAGACCTGGGTGAACTGCGCAGCTACCTTGGCTTGCAGATCACTCGGGACAGAGCACGCCGCACCATTACCCTGACTCAGTCACACATGGTGCAGCAGGTCCTTCAGCGCTTCGGCTTCACGTACTCCTCGCCTCAGGCCACTCCTCTGCCTACTCGCCACTCGCTCTCAGCTCTGCCTTCGGATGAGTCCGTAGAGTCGAGTGGCCCGTATGCAGAGCTTGTTGGCTGCCTCATGTACCTGATGACCTGCACACGACCTGACCTTGCATACCCTCTGAGCATCCTTGCACGCTATGTTGCTCCTGGGAGACACCGACCTGAGCACATGGCTGCAGCGAAGAGGGTATTGCGCTACCTGTGCAGTACGTCGGGCATGGGGCTAGTGCTTGGAGGGCGGAGTCCAGTGGTCCTTACGGGCCACGCGGACGCTTCTTGGGCTGACGACCAGGCTACGCAGCGGTCGTCACAGGGTTACACCTTCAGCCTTGGTTCCGGCTCTGTCTCGTGGCGGTCTACTCGCTCGTCTTCGGTTCTCGGCTCCAGTTGTGAGGCTGAGATCTACGTCGGGGCCATGGCTGCGCAGGAGCTTCGCTGGCTCACCTACCTGCTGACTGACCTTGGAGAGCCGCCTCGTTCTCCTCCAGTGCTGTACGTAGACAACAAGGCCATGCTGGCCTTGTGTCGAGAGCAGCGTCTGGAGCACAGAACGAAGCACATTGCTCTCCGCTACTTCCTTGCTCGTGAGCTGCAGCAGCGTGGTCAGCTGCGACTTGCGTACGTGGCCTCTGAGGCCAACACTGCTGATGTGTTCACCAAGGCACTCGCGCCTTGTGACCATCAGCGCTTCTGTACCCAGCTGGGTCTTGTGCCTGTCTTGCCTCACTTGCTCTCTTCCTGACTTCACTTGTACTGTGATATATATATACCTGCTCTTGCTTGTCTAGTAATATATATATGTCTGTACTCCTGCATGTGAACTGGCCTCTGGCCCTGCTCTTGTGCTCGGACTGTGTGGTGACTTTGTGATCCACCCTGAGCTTGCTTTGCTTTGCTTCACTGGTCTTGTGACCCCTTGTTCTCCCCCACTTTGCCTATGGGGGTGTGTCAGAACATTATAGCTGATACATGTTTGTAGGCTGTAGTGGGGTAGCACATATGGGGTACAGATTCCTAGGGTTTGTTATTTGTACCAATTTCTGACTTAGTCATTTCATTCCTCTTCTCATTGTTTCACAGTTTGCCTCCTCAGCAGTTGTTCGGCGTCAAGTGTGCCGTGGCACCGATTCGCTGTGCCGAGGCAATGATTCTCGAGTGGATGGCTGAGCCTCGTGTGGGCGTGCTCATGGATCTGGGGAGGATCAGATCCCGCCTGCCTGCCATTCTGGCCGCTACAGATGCCACTTGTTCAAATAGCAGCAGTGCAGCTACAGCTGCACCTGCTCCTAGAACAGCTGCTGCCCCTGCTGCTGCTGCTAGTGGAACGTGGGGGGCTCACTGGTCTGCCTACCGCCGTGCTGTCAGCTTTGCCGCATTCCTTACGCTTGTCGCGAAGTGGCCGCGAGTTGTGAATCTAAAGAGGTTGTCTCTGTGTCCAGGCTCCTCAGTTTATCCTGCTATCATGGCCCAGCTGGGGGCTGGCAGGCAGGTGGAGAACGACTGCGTAGCTTCCATGCTGGTGCAGGTGCTGGGGGTGAAGGAGAGCGCTGATCTGCAGGAAGGGTTTGGTGCTCTCATGCAGAATCTGCTGTCAGGCGGGCTGGAAAAGGCGCATGCAGCTGAAAAGGGGAGTGAGGGAGCTGGGGGAATGGGTGCTGAGAAGACACATGGGGAGGAAGGGGGAATAAGGGGGGAGACTGCTGAGAAGGCGCAGGGGGAGGAGGGATGGGCGGATGGCGAGGTGATGGATAGGGGCGGGGGCATGGAAAAGGAGGAGGAGCAGGGGGTTGATGATGCTGGTGATGTGAGGGATGGAAGAGAACCAAATTGTAGCAGCGAGGCGAGCAGAGGGGAAGACAGACGTAGTAGCAGGGCGGCTAATGGAGCTGCTGAAAAAGGGTGGCAAACGGGGGAAGAATGGGTAATGGAGGGAGCATTTGAAGGGGCGTGTGTGGGAGAGGTATGTGGATGGCATGGCTTGGATTCTGGAGCATGGTGGTGGGGAAGGGTTGGAGTTCCGGTGCAGCCACTGCAGTGAGGGGGGCAGCAGCAATAGTGGTGACGTGCAGGTGAATGGTATTCCCAAGGGCATGTATGTGAGTGGGGTCAGCGCCACGGATATTGCTCTTGCTTTTGCCAAAGAGTTGTCTAAGGCAGAGCGCTGTGTAGACTCCTGTATGTACACATTGGATAGAAACAATGCGAATAAGGTGAGGGTGGAAGAGGCAGCAATTGAGGAGGCTAGAAGCAGGCTGAAAAGAGGGGTAGGTGGAAAGGGCAGAATATGGGGTTCAGGACAATAGGAGGAAAATGGACAGCAGCAAACACGAATGGGGCAGCAGCAAGCAGGAGTGGGGCAGGAGCAAACATGAGTTGGGAAGCAGCAGACGCGAACAGGGCAGCAGCAGCCGCGAGCTGGGCAGCAGAAGCATCAGCAACTGGTAAGGCATCTGCTTCCAGTGCTTCTACTTCAGCTGGCAACCGACCTTGTGCACGAGTAGATGGCACCTGCGCTAGGTACAACCCTGGGCTAGTGCCTGTAAACACAAATCTCATCCTCGCAGCCTTCACGTATCGAGTTGCCCGCATCTTACGGTGGGTTCGATTCTATGGCTCAGATGTCGTATTTGTGGAACGATGCTCTAGAAGTAGGCCACCGAAAGGGATCGTGCAAATGCTCCATCCCTTTTGAGTGCTCCCGAGCCTGCTGCTGAGGCTCGGTGCCATCCCGAAGCCTCTAACTGCTGAAAGTCTTCCTATAGAGTGGGAGGAATGGCCACATGGTGATGAAGCTGCTTCGAAGCTTCCTGATGATCCCGATGCGAGATTCTACCTGCTGGGTGTTGTGGAGGAGAGTGCAACGGGGGTGGAGAGTGAGCAGAGGAGGGTAACAGAAGAAGCATCAAAGGCTGGGAGGAGGCACAAGAGGGGGAAGGTGCGAGGAGCTAAGGCACCAGGCCAAGCAAGTGACGGCAGTGGCAGCGTTGCAAACAGAGGGCACGGTGAAGAGCAAAGGGCCAGTTCACATGCATGCGGCATGGGTGTTGCAAGGCCGCCTTTTAGAAGGAAGCTGCCCATCGTATGCTGCGTGGCAGATGCAGAATTTTTTGTGGAGGGGGTCGGCCGGTTGATGAGTCCACCGGCATGTGCTCAATGCATCCATTGCTACCGCAGTTTCTACATCCGCATCCCATCCATCGCCCTCATTGCCAAGTTCGCCTATCGCCCCCTCTACGTTCTCTTCAACCGCTTCTTATCTGTCTTCCCGCCACACTCTGCTGGGTTTGATGCACTTTTGGAGAACATGGGGTTGCCGCCATTTCCCTCAGGCTCGCCTTCACGTACCAACCTTGCAGTTCTGTGCGGTGAGCTAGAGAAGGAGCGCGTTTTCTTCCTGCTCCTCGTGGCCCACATGTGGCCGACTTCCATTCTGGATATGGAACAGTTTGAAGGCATAGAGGTGTTCTGGGGAGATGGGATTCGAGTGAACAAGAAGGCTGTGACGGGGAGGAAGAGAGGGAAGGCTCGGCGAGGGATGGGAAAAGGAGGGGAGGAGGAGGAGGAGGAGGAGGAGGAGGAGGAGGAGGAGGAGGAGGAGGAGGAGGAGGAGGAGGAGGAGGAGGATGATGATGATGATGGAGAGGTGTGGGAGGAATTGGATACGTGGTGCTTCGCAGCAATGAATGCGTGACCATCCAGCATGCGCGCCTCGTTGAGAAATGCCGATGTTGAATCGGCGGGTTCAGGACTGAGTGATGTGTGCATGGGCAGTGAGGAGCAACAGAAGAGGGCGGACGTGAATGCGAGGACTGCTGATATGGTCAACACAGGTGCGGCGAAGATCCGCAGAAAGAGGGTGCAACACGGCGGTGCTGTGGAGAGCAGTAGCACCGGCAGCACCAGACGTGATGTAGTCATGGAGAGTGGCAATACTGGTGCTGGCAGCGTCAGTGGCGGTAGCAGTGGCAGAGGAGGCGATGGTGCTGGCACCAGTAGAGATGGTGACGATGCTATGGTGGCAAGTGCAAAGAGGGAAAGGGCAAGAAGGGGGAGCTGCCGGCTTATCTGAAGGCATGGCCGGGGGGGGTCAAGCTGGTGGCATGTCTGCGAGAGATGCTGCTGGGGGAGCCGTGCTACCACCCTGCCTCTCATGCTTCCCCTTCCGTCCCTCCTCCTGTTGTGAACACCTCTGGTGCAGTTGCTGCTGCCTCGTTCCACCCACCTGTGCGAAACCTTGCTACCACATCAGCTTATGATGCTTCTTCTACACATGTCACCCCAACTACTGGTGCTGCAACAGGCACTACAGGAACAGCTGTACCCATTGCAGATGCAGAGGCCACTTTTCTTGATGCTTACAAGGAGAGTAGGTGCGGTGCTGTGGGGTGTGGTAGGGTGGAGGGTGGTAATGTGAAGCTGAGGAGTTGCGGTGGGTGTGGCAAGGTGCCATATTGCAGCAGAGAGTGCCAAAAGGCGCACTGGCCCTCCCACAAGCACACATGCCCCGGCAGGACCAGTAGCCGGGGTGGTGGCAGCAGCAGCACTGGCAAGGTGGGTGGCAAGGCGAGCAGTGGGGGTGTTGGGTAAGTATGCCATTGACTTAATGCATCACAGACAAGGCTTGCGAATGCTGCTACAACTAATGAGGGTGTGCAAAGTTTTCTTTGCATGTTGTCGGGATGTTTGCTGCTCTGCTTGTTGCAAGTCATCCATATTGTGCAGCACTGCTGAGCATTCTCAGAGGTGCCTATAATAGGAGTGTGGATGAAGTTCCCTTGCAGATGGCTGGGTTGGGCCCTTTGCTGCTGTGTGCCGCCGTGCTTGCAGTTGTGCTTGCTGCCAGATATGAACCTTGTGTTGCAGCAGCTGCACTGCTTGAGAAGCAAATGTAGACTCTGCTGTGTTTTATGTGTTGGAAATGACTGGCGTTCCTCTCCTTGCACTCTCTTTCCCCGGATTTTCCTCACTACCTTTCCAAGTGCTCGCTTGCACACGTCCCCTCCACCTGCTCTGCATTGGTCTAAGTTTAACTGACATGTTAAGCAGTGCTATGCAGAACTCTTCATTCGCGCCTCACAGACATTGTCCAGTTGGGAAATGGGCGCATCGGACTGAACCTCACAAGTTAAAGGTTTACCACCGTGCTGAGCCCGGGCGCTTATGAGCTGCTTTTGAGAACAGGGAGGGGTCTTCGGTTGAATAAAATAATAAAATCCGCGAATTAAATGTATGGCTGGAATCTGCGGGTTTTACAAAGGACATGCCGTAATAAAGAATACACTAGCATTTTCCAGGTAGTAACTGGGTCGGGGGGATTTAGGGTACATGGGGAAACGTAGGGAACGTGTTGATGTTACTGGTACCAGAGGACAACCAATTGCTTTGTACGCTTGTGCGAATTGCCCTCTGCCAAGTGGCGAGATCTCATCGAGCAACGGGAGCTCCTCGCTGTTGCGGAAGGCTTGAAGGCTCAGAAGAGGCAGAGCATACGGTAGTGCCTAGTAGAGGTAGGGTAAGGCCGGCAGGCAACACCACACCACAGCAGTGTTGTCAACGACCCACAGTCTACGTTGCACACATGTGGAGCAGGATCTGAAGGGGATGGTGGAGGAACAGAAGTGGGAGAGAGTTGGAGAGAGACAGTCAGCCATGAAGGACCCCACCGCCTTGACTGCACTGCACTCATGTGGACCAGGGGCCTGGTGGGGTGGGGGAGTGGAAAGAAAGGTGGAAGTGAGTGAGAAGGGAGTGAGCAGGGGGTGGGGGGAGGAAGGAGGCGAGAGAGAGAGAGACATGAAGGACCCCACTGCCTTGGCACCACTGCACTAGCGTCTGTATGATGATGGCTGCCACACACGTGATGATGGCTGCCACACACGTGATGAGGGGAACAGGTGGGGAGGCTGATGACCCACCTCTATGGCAGCCATCGTGTGCCACCCCAGCGTGTGCCGCGCGTTGACTATTACGGATTTACTTCCGCCACATGTGCAGGAGGAAGTGCCGGAGCATCGGGAGAAGGAGGGCTTCAGGTCCCCACCCATTTCTGGAAGTTGACGTTCCCCATCTGCCTCAAGAACCAGCTTCTTCCTCTTGTGGTCCAACTACTCTCCATTGCCCGACTGCTTCGCTGGGGTTGGCCCAGCTGGGTGAGACCGTTCGTGTTACTCTCGAGCCTCCAGGGTCAGCTTGTTCTGCAGTCGCTGACTTCCCGCTGTGTTCCATCGTTGCAGGTCCGGTGTCTCCGGGAGTGGAGGTTGAGGTAGTTGGGATGGTACGCAGGCAAAAAAGTCCGTCTGATGCCGGACGTTTGAGGTCCATCTCATCAGTGTGTGACCAGGTCGGCGCCTCCGTGGGTGTTGTCCTTAGTAGAAGAGTCCGGTCGGAGTCGTCCGTCGTGCCCTGCACTATAAAGTTTAGAATGAAGACTCCGTCACTGTCGATTGCCTTCCTGATGTAAGTATTGTTGTAAAACACTCGAAGCGTTTCTCCTTGCAGTTGCTTCGAATGTCAACCTCGCGCCTCATGAGTTGAGCTGAAGAGAGGAGGTTGTACTCAGATTGGGAACGACCAGGACGTCTTCGATGTGAATGGTCAAGCGAGTGTCTACAGCTTCAAGGTAAATTTCTCCGATGTCGTATGCCTTGAGTCGATTGTTGTTTGCGACTCTTATTCCGCACTGTTGCCGCATACGTCTTGCTGATAAAAGTTGGTGATCCCACCATGTGTTGTCCGCATCATCACGTTTTTACGACGCTGACATGCGATGGCGGCAATCTTTGGAGTGATGATGCGTTTGAGATCGACGTAGAAGCGCGAGAGGTTGTACTGGGTTCTGACTGGAAAGCTGGGAGGAGAATCCGGTGTGCTCGGTAGAAGCTCCAAGTCAAGTAGGAGAGTTGTTGGCGTGTCGATCCAGAAGCTGATCGTGGGATCGTTGTTCAGGCTTGGTGTAATGGGAGTGATGGGCCCGATTGTTGCGTATTCAATGTTGTCGTAGTATCGGATGCCTCTGCGATGATGCACCATGCAGCTCAAAACTGATCCCTTGCCCTTATCCTTGGACAAAATGCGTGCAGGGGCTTGTGAGGTGCTCGCGACGGAAGGTGGCGACATGGTCGCTTTCGCAACTGGAGTTGCGGGGGCCGCCGAGGGCTGCTGACTAGATGAGTTGTTGTTGCGCCTCTCGCCAGCGGCCTTTCATTTGTAACACCGGTCTATGGTGTGACCGGGCTTCTTCTTTCCATGCTGCTCCATTTCAATCGCTCTAGTCAAGAACACTAACTTCTTCCGCTTGCTGTTCTTTTCATTGTACAGATCGATCTTCTTCTGCTCGGAGAGGAGTGTGGCGCAAAGGGCGGACTCGAAAATAGTGGCTCGAGCGTGGAGCAACAACTCGCACTGACGCCAATCGGGTCCAAGGCCAGAGAGAACCATCGAGACGAACATGTTGTCAAGGACGGGTCCGCTGCACTTCTTAGGACGCGGTAAAAATAGACGATTGATCGTCAGTTGCGATCGATGTGCGGATTGATTACCCTGTTTACTACGATGTAACCACGATATAGTACGCTTTTTGGCCAAATGTTTTGTACAGTATGTGCATCAAACTGATCACTGATCATGGGAGATCTGCCAAATCTCAGTAGCAATCGTTATAACATCACGATCGCCACGTTTCGCCAATCGATCTGCCCAATCGATTGCGGGGCTCGATATGTGCAGAGGATCGTGCGATATTAGCACTTTTTCCGCGTCCTTAATGTGGTCACATAGATTGCGGCACCGATTGTTATACGGCCCGGCTTTCTCCCCTTGTTGCATTTTCACTGATGTCAGTTGACTGAGTAGACGACTCATGGTAACCGGATCCGTTGCCATGTATGAATTGCGCAAGTGTTCCCAAGACATTTGCGCAGGAGCGCACTCCGATTTGTAGGAGCAAATGCCGAGCTGCTCGGTGGGGGAGAGATTTCGGAGAAGGGCACTATACGTGAGGAGGGATTCGTGGTAATACTGTTGCTTCTCTTGGATGGTTCCTTCCATCGGAAAATGTAAGCTCCCGTCTTAGTACATCCAGAATTGCGCGGTTGTTGCGAGAAGCTCGAATTTGAAACTCCACGTGTAGAAATCCTTGCCGTCAAATGGAATTGAAGTTTTCAACTTTGAAGTCAGGACGAAATTTTGTTTGCATGGTTGTAATTGCTTCTGACTGTGCTCGATGTTGAGTGTCTTGCGCAGGAGCTGAGGCTTGACGGTTGTCAAAGGTGAATGATCTCTCAGAGTTGACGCGACAGTCTTCTATAGGGAGAGGAATCCCACCAACTCCTCTTGCGTACCTTGAGCCATCAATGCGCATGGCTTGATGGCTTTCAAGAGCGTTGATGCGTGGGATCAGCTGTTCAAAGAGTGCGGCGCTGATGGAGGTCACCGCAGATGGCGCATCAGTCATTGCTGGTGGTGGTGGGCACGGGGAGTCTGTAGTAGCCTTTCCTTCAGGAGCCATAGTGATGCAGATTTGTAATAGGTAATCCGTTAATGAATGAGTTGATAAGGAATTTGTTCTAGGAAGAACAGGAACTTGGCATGCCTTATAATGCACTCTTGCTCTCATACCATGTTGATATAATCGAATGATCAAAGTGGACAGAATAAGGTTGCTAAGTTATAAGAAGACAATTAAGTCTTTTAGTGACCTTGTTAATAAACTATAAAAAAGAACGAGATGATTAAGATAGAGTTACAATGAGCTTAAATAAAAGTCTAGCTAGCCATGTACTCTGAGGGGTACATTCCCTTATGTTGAGTGTATTGCATAGCTACTGTAACTGCGACTATTGCCGTTCTTGACAGTTACCACGTTGCATTGCGTGACCTCTGATGCAGTTGTTGGTCGACCAACAGTCGCGACAGTTGACTTCTAGCGACTGTTGACCTTCAGGTGACTCTCGAGGTGCCGTGTGCTCTAAATGAGCATATCGCGATACTGTGAAGTTGTGCTGCTTCGCTATGAAGTGGCGCGCTAGGAGATAACCTTCGGGAATGTTATAACGACCATTCGGTTATTCCAACACGGTATTAGGCTAGGCTAGGCAACGGAATACGTGCAGCCTAGGCTAGGCTGGGAGAGTACCTACTCATGATACAGTACCATCTTAGAAGTTGAACAGCGGAATGGTTGCATTAGGGTTGGGAAGCAATCCAAATAGGAACCCTAACAATATGCTGTACTCCCTACGATACTGCTACTCATTGTAGCCTAACAAGAGATTATAACATTTGACACTGTTCTGCCTAGGGCCCAAAATTTCAGGGTAAAACGCCCTGATTACCTTGGGGGCAGGCTGCTTTTTCAGGATTACCCTGCCAAAATCAGGATTCCACGAAAGTTACCCTTTTGCAAAAAGAGCATGGCTTTTTTTTAACCCTGATAGGATTTATGGTCAACCTGACAGGATCAGGGTAGGGTGTAGACTACCCTGATGCCGAAACATTTTTACCGCGGATCAGGCCATACTCCGCTTAGTGACGAACTGTACCACACCCACACAAACAAGCGTTGTCGCTTCTTACCACTGACATATGTT